CTCTGTCTCTCTCTCTCTTTCTCTCTCTCTCTCTCTCTTTCTCTCTCTCTCTCTCTTTCTATCTCTCTCTGTCCCTCCCTCCCTACCTCTCCGCATCCCATTACCAAACCCAAACTCAACCACCCACTAGCGGCCAGCCGCGCTACCACCACTGTGCGCGCACGTGCGAGGACGACTGAGCACGCGCACGCCAGCACCTTGCTCATTATGACCATTTCGCCTACTTCGTTTGCCCCACCATGGTTGTGACCACCGGGATTAAAGCAACTCGCTTGCTCCATATCGCAGAGCATAACCAGAAACGAAACTACATAAATCGCTAACGTAGAACTAAATCTGAACTAAAAGCATCGTTTTTACAAATATTCAAGCAGAGTTCTTAAAGGAATCTTGTAAGTTACCTAAAACTGAACTCTAGCAAAACTAAAAGCATCGTTTTTACAAACATTCTAGCAGAATTTTTAAAGGAATTTTGTAAGTTACTGAATATAAGATATGGTCAATTTGAACTGCTGAGAGAAGTAACAAAGAATGGGTATATGTCATATTATTACTTGGAGGTGATCGAACAGAAGCAAGAAAATCTTGTTAAAAAATTCCTCGAGTAGAAGAGCTATTAGTGCTTAGAGGTAGTTAAAGAGGAGCAAGAAAACGTTCAAATACGATGTATTTAATTTTGTCGAAGAGGAAGAATTACACATCATTGGATTTATATTTCATTTCTGGCACTGCTGCTTGCTTCCTGTCGTAATGGCCCGGTTTCAGTGGTGCTTATCAAATCAAATTGACTTAAATCTACTGTGAATGCATTCTCTACATGGAATTTCTTATAACTGCAGCTAAAGACCTGCATGAGCAGCAGTGTCCCCATTTTAGTTATAACGCTAGGCTCATCATGGTTATCATCATCATCATCATCATCATCATCATCATCATCATCATCATCATCATCACCATCATCATCATCATCATCATCATCATCATCATTATCATTATCAACATCATTATCATCATCATCATCATTATCATCATCATCACCATCATTATCACAAACACCATCATCACCATCATCATCATCATAACACCAGTTTTCTCTGCAGTGTATTAGTAGATGACAACAATTCAATGTAATATAAACTACGTTTATCTCAAGGAATGGACACGTTCATTTGCTACGATGTGTGGTGTATATGAAACAGTCACCAATATTCATTGAGAGGTTTCAAATGGAACTGTGAAATAACCCAGTGAACCTTTTGTGAAAAAGCAAGGCGTTTACAAATCCTTGATAACGTGAAGCCATCGATATACGGACTTTAAAACACGAACCATCGATATACGGACTTAAAACACGAGATACTACTGCTGCCTTGTGCTGTAAGTATTCCAGCATAAAATGAATATGCAGATATTTTGTGTACATGTACTGGATGTGTGCCAAGAGGTGAAAGGTGGAAGCAAGAGTGGGTGAGAGGGCAAGGGCAGTCTTGAGGACCCCCCCCCCCCGGGCGGTGACACTGACTGTAGTGTCTTTTGGCCATTTCCAGGGGGGGGGGGCATTTCTCGTTCTTATGCACAGTACAATTGTAAATGGGCTGATTCAACAATGCCATGCTCAAAACTATGACTGAACTACAACAGGGAACTGCTGCTTTTTCTTTCCTAATCCTTACTATCGTCATTTTCCTCTACTTCTTGTGTATGTTTGTCACACTCTGGTGACCCGCTATTTCCGGGGTGCCTTGAAAGTCGAAACAGACTGTGTGCTGTTGAAGCTGGAGAGGTGAGAAGAGTAAGCCCGAATCCCTTTAAAGACTTCTTTTGTTAACATCCACCCCTTGGTATATGACCGTATGCAGTTGCGAGCGCCGTAAAACCTTTACTAAATAAAAATAAGTCTTGAGGAGATAGCGAGCACGAAAATAGAGAGGGGGGG